CTAAACCCTTATCCCTGAACCCTGATCCCTAAACCAAGCGGCATAATAGTTGATGTAGGAAGCCGCGAAGCCGGCGCTAGCGGACCCAGAGCTCCATTCAGGGCGGATAGACTCCTAGGGTTTAGGGTTTAGGGTTTAGGGTTTCAGGGTTTGGGGATTACAGGGGTTTAGAGTTTAGGGATTACAGGTGTTAGGGTTTAGGGATTCTAGGGTTTTTAGGATTTAGGGTTCAGGGTCATAGGTTTAGGGCGTATGGTCTATCTTACACTGAAGATAGGGCTTAGTAGGGTTTATGGATTAAGCACGAGGTAAATATTTTACAACATGGTTGGGGATATTACCCCAACAATGGGGAATCAAAGGGAAGAGAGCATTGACGTGGAACGTGACACAAAAACTTGGATGCAAACTTGCTTGGTTTGCAACTTGGGTTTTTGCTATCTAGATCTTGCATGAGGCTTTGGGAGGCGCTAGGTTCAGTTTGAGGGTTTTTCACGCTGATGCCTATATTAAACCCTAATCCCAAACCCTGAACCCCTAAGCTTACCAGAAGCCCAACATTTCGTAGGCCTGCAGTCTGAAGAAGCGTGCAAACTGGCTCCACACGTCCCATTTTGGTATCCCTAAAAAAGAGGTGCCGTAATAGAATCCATAACCAAAAGAGGCTCATAGGTTTGAGAATAACCCCGGTGGAATACATGACAGGCAACCTCGCAGCAGCCGTGCCCAAGCCATCTTGATGCCCGCATGATCGAAACAAGCGTGTACATACTGGGCTATGATATTTTTGCGCTTTGAAGTGAACATGACATAACCTGGCTCCCTGTACATAACTCAGATGGCCATGTGCGGCATGAATTCCGCGCAACCTGAAGTCAGGTTTGATAATATTCTGTACCATACAAACACACCGTCTCCATGCAACATCCGAAATCTGATTACAGTGCTCAAAAATCGCTACCTTCCTCACGAAAACTCAGCCCGGTCCCCTTTTTTGCAAAAAATCAAATAATAGTGTCCATGTTCTTCTCCATTTTCCCTATGTAACCCCTATATCCCACCTAAAACCTTCAACCCTAAATCCTAAACCCTAAACCCTAAACCCTAAACCTTAAACCCTAAATCCTAAATAGTAGTTGGAAAGACCTTAGACAGCTAAAGCGGCGGGGTTGTCCAAGATGTGGACCGTGAGCTGGCGCCCCCGGGCGTCCGTGGCGCCGATCAAGTCTGAAATGACCTGTCGAGTGACCTCAAGGCTGGAGGGGACGTGTTTTAGGGTTTAAAGTTGGGATATAAAGGGGGAATATAGGGAGAATGGAAAAGAAAACAGAAACTACTATTTAGAGTTTAGGGTTTAGGAGAGGTTTGGGTTTGGGAGCATGATGGAAGGATTATGTTGGTCGACGTTTTGGGCTCTGTGAATGGAGTCTAGGGAACAACGCTCGCAGGTTTGTAGATGGGGCTCGGTTTGAGGTTTCTCGCAGTAAGCACCAAAGGCACAATCACTATGTAGGAATCTGCATAACACAATAAAATTCTACAGCCGGTGACCGAAACCCTACTTGACATATAAGGGTTTAGGGTCTAGGGTTTAGGGTTAGGGCTTTTCATCCCTGCATAAACCTTCCATACCCAGTTTCTATCTCATTTTCCATGCTGTCACCCATCTGATTCTCCTTTATTCTAATTGCACTTTCCCCTTTTGATTATCCCTATCAGCTGCGTCGCCTGGTAGTCGTAGATTGTATTGTCATTCCTTAGCTGCGCTTGGGTTCAGGCATCAGGGTTCCGATTTTGCACAGGTATGTGCTTAGAGTAGGCTTCCTCCAATAGGCACCCGCCGACATCAGGGACCATAATCTTGGAACATACCCACCTAGGTACTTCAGGAAACAAGGCACGTTTTTGGGAAATAGTAAGAAGTGATGGAAAACCAGGTTGCACACGACACCGGGTTCCACAGCAGTAGAGTCTGCTGGTGAAGCTCCGTGTCAACTGCAATCTAACCCTGAACCCCTAGAACTCCAAAAGCTAAACCCTGTGGGAGTGACCGGGAAATTTGTACAATCCTGACAATACAGAAGCCCTCTCCCCAAAATGACAGAATCCCTACATGTAAGCTGCCAACATACTGTAGGGAGCCCCAAAACGCAACAACAGATTTCGCCAAGATTCTCGCGCGCTGCGACCACCACCCCAGGGGAGGTGAAACGCGCGTAGAAGTCAATGTGGGCATCTGTGATGTCCTTCTGGCATGGTCCTAGTTATTTCTGAGGCACCCATTTACATTGAAATTTACATAATACAGTATGGACCCATACAAGCCGCGATAACTACATACCGTAACAATGTAGAGGATATAGGAAGACCCATGCTTATAGCCTCTGACTGCTGGCTTGATCTTTTTCACGGCTTCGGGTACAGGTTTCTTTGTGGCTCCAAAATCCGTACTTCCGTGTGCTTGTCATGAACCTGATTTGAAGCTGCATTTTCGCAGCTTTTTGGTATGGCGCGTGCTTTCGAAAGCCGCTCCGCAAGTCCCGCAATCCCGGGCTCTGCAATTGAATGGCCAATGAATTATATCTGGGTTGCTGTTAAGGAACTTAAGTTATAGTAATTACCATATCTACCCATTATGGTAACTTAAATGAAGTTCCTTAACACAAGCCCAGCATAAATTATGGGGCTTTCGGCGGCAACAGGCTTTGTACCTTATGGCCGCCCTGCATCTGAGTTAAGTCCAGGCCACAGGGCCCCAGCCTATCGCTCTAAGAACTCCAACCCCTAAGCCCCAAACACCCATCCCAAAGCCTTCATCCGAATCCTAAACCCTAAACCCTTAACCCTAAACCCTAAACCGCAACCCAGGGATTGCTCCCAGTTCAGCCCCAACCCCGCTAAATTTGCAGGCTTTTCCTTGGCAGGAGGCTTTCTCAACTTAGTGGCATCGTTGAGGGTCTTAAGCCCTAAAAACTACACTGTACTGTTAATAATAGTTTCCAGAAATAAGGGGACCCTTCATGCGCCCCAAAACACTCTTGTTCCTATTCTGGGGAATTCCCAGACCGGACCCCTCATTGTCGGAAACTCCCATACAGGTGGGCTCAGAGGGGGATTTCGAGGATATCTCTTAGTGGTTTTGCATGGCTTCTTCTTGCACAGCTCTGATTTTGTGGCCTCTTGATAGCGGGGTTGTAGTCTTTAGGCATGTATTCTATGGGCTTAGGGTGCTTGAATTTGGAAAGTTTGGTTCCAGCGGTTAGGGTCAAGAATATAACGACAAGTCTCCCGTCCGATGATTCCGTCCGTCCAAATCACCTTCTCGATCCCAAGTGTGGTGTACAGCTCATCCTGCAACGTATTGCTGCTCAAGGGGGAATGGATCCATGAATCCCTATTACTATCCCTATATTGTACACCCCAACCCCACTCCGCGTAAAGCACCAGTACGGAAACGTCTCTGCAGGTCTTGAGGCTTCATTCGGCTTGAAGGCTTGGTGAGGCAGACGATTTTCTGCTCCGGGTTTCTGTGTTCAGGAGTTGGGGCTTCGGGCTTGCTTTAGTCAAGTTTTCTAGCTTCCTGGCAGAACATGGGCCTAATGTTAATATTCCCTGCCTTCCCAGGTTCCGAGATCCAGGATAAAGACGAGATGCCCTGTTTTGGATTTCCAAGTTCTCAGGCTTTGCGGGTCGCACATCCCATGTTAAGGAATTCTGACAAATTTTTGACTGTACCCTAAAACCAAACCCTTTGCCAATAAATCTGCACCCATCTCAAGACCACTAGGTCGAGCAGAGCCATTTCATGCAAGCTAACTTCAAATCTTGCGCACCCCTACCCTAAATCCTAAACCCCCCGCCAACATGTGGCAGCATCCAGATCTGAGATGCTGGTACACATCTGAGAATTTCTCGAAATCCCTTAGATGAGCCTGAAACAAAGGAACCCCATGATCCCGGTTTTCCCATAGGGTCCGCAGGGCACCTCTATTTCGAGCTAAGCCACCCTCGCAAAATTCACAATCATCTACAACAGCCCTGCATCGAGGTTAAAGCGGCCGCTCTTCAAAGTTATTTGGGGGGTTCCGTAAAGAGAGGGCCCCAATATAGATCCCGAAAAAATTTAGTACTTATTATGCGGACTCCCAAAAGAGGGAGCCCCTACGTACTAGCTTCTAGAATCTATCAACCACCTTGACAAAATTGCAGAAAACGCCATCCTCGACGTCTTTCTCCGTCCAGTTGGGGTTTCGGTTAGGATTGATCACAGAGCTTCGCGTGATGATGGCTGTGCCTTCGCCATCCACCTAGCAGGGTTCAAATGCTGAGGTGGGTAGATCAAGGTTCAGGCTTCAGTGTTTCAATGGTTCAAGATTTGGGGTATACGGTGTTGGGATCTACTAGCCCACCATGGATACCCTAAACCCTAGACCCTAAACCGAAAGGCCATTGACCTACTTCGGGGTTTGGGTAAGCCTAAGGGTCCAAGAACCAAAATAACAGGGTTTTAGGTCCCAAATACCATTAATGTTTTAGTATGTGGGCCCCAGAACCCCATTGTTTGGGTCCTTGGACCCTTAGGGTAAGCTATTTTATAATCCCAGCTTATTCAAATTTTGCCACACGCCTCTACTGACCCGCCCTCCATCCTAAGGTCACCATGTCAGGGTTTAGGGTTTAAGGGTTAGGGTTTAGGGTTTAGGGGTTAGGGTTTACGTATTTTTGTACCGCCTTTTCGCCAGGGCAAGCGAACTAGCTCTAGACATGTCCCTGAGAGACAATTCAAGGTTCCGGGGGTTTCGGGTTTCAGATTCAGAGTCTAGGGTTTAGGGTTCTGGCTTTAGGGTTTAGGGTTTAGGGTTCGGGGGTTAGGGTTTAGGGTGTAGAGTTTAGGGTTCAGGTGAAGGGCAGGCTACCAAGGAAACCCAATTTGCATTCGGGTGTATAGTGTCCAGGAAGTGGTGAGAATTTTTGGGCGAAGAGCCCTTACAACCCCAATTAACTATACACCTTTCCCATCGAACGGCTTAGATGAGGGTGTCTATGACTTATTCAGAACTGGCACGACCCATGTTGAAGCACTGAGACAAATCAAGCAACAAGCTCAGTGATGCTGACATGCTTCTTGGAGTGCAGATGGCAGTCCTATAAGACTTTGCAATACGAAGCAATAGGGCGCTGACAGGCGTTCAATTCCGAGACAAAAATGAAGGGACATGGGCTACGAACTCTGCATCCCACCCGAGTGTCTTGAGTGTTTGCCGACCCTTACTACTATTACCAATATGACTATTGTTATCGTTACTAGTACTTTTCTTGTTACTATTACTATTAAAGCAAGCGTCACGAGGCTTGAGCGCACATAAGTGGCTCCTGCAAAGCTGGCCACACTGGCGGCAACCTTTGCGTCGTTGGTGTGGCTTTGCCTCACTTGACATGACTTCAACTGTCAAGGTCAGTACCAGGACTTTGGGTTGCGTGGAGAGTCTTCAGACGGGGTCGCGTCTGTACGATTGCACGAACATGTCACGTCTTGGGGCTTGGCGCTTTCTTCGCTTTTTGGGACGTCTGCAACTGCCGGCGGTTGCTAGACTGTAGGCCCTGTAGGCCCAAAGACTCCGGGCACGAACTGCTTCTCTCAGCATGCAGCAGGCTGCTGCAAGCTCAGCTGAAAGAAGTTTTCTTTGAAGCCTTGGTATGCTTGCCTCATGCCTCAGGACTGTTTCTGCTAAAGCTTGAGTCCTCAACTTTCGCGACTTTCGAATGGCCTCGTGAGCTCACAGGAAGTCAAGCACTACTGCGCATTATGGGCCGCGGGTCACTTTTGGGTGTGGATTATGCGGAAACAGGGGCCGATTTAGGCATATGATCCTTGTCTGTTAGCTCATGCAACCCAGAGTCCCCGCCCCCTCAACCCACCCCAGCGCCAACATTTTTAAGTCTCAAACCGGAACCAAACAACAACCCCAAATCCTTGGCTTAGGACTTGGGGTTGAGTAAGTGACCACCCGGCCTGCCCTAAACCCTAAACCCAAAACCAACATGCCTGCGCTACTCGTAAGCCAGGTTGCTTGTTCCCCCATCCATTGAAGTTGAAGTCCACACAGGATAACGGAGCGGTTGGCCAAGCGTGCTTCACGGGTTGCCCATACCTTACTTGAGTATATTGGGTTTATATTGGGTTTATATAGGGGCTATATTGGGTTTCTATTGGGGTTATATTGGGTTTATATAGGGTTATATTGGGTTTATATTGGGGTTATATTCGGTTTAATATAGGGGTTATAGACGGGATAATGGAAAACAAAATGGAAACTACTATTTTATAGGGGTCATATTGGGTTTATGTAGGGGGTATATAAGGGATAGTGGAAATTCAAAATGGAAATTACTATTTAGGGCCATTGGTATGTAACCCAAAAACACTAGCTGGCGTGTTCTGAAGGTAACAACAGGGGCGAACCCTATGGTCTTTTGCACCTGCCGAAAGCATATGTGCCTACTTCTTACGACAGGTTTCAAATTGCCAGCACTCTGATGACTACTTTTCCATGATACTCTTACCCAAGGCCTTCTCCATTCCCATATTCCTAGCAGTCAGCAGAAGTGGAAATAGCATTTGTTTGAAAGACTCAATGGGCATCGCAGCAGCTTGACTCTGTATTACATTCGAGATATGGAGGTGTTTCGCTTTTTTTTGGGGGAGGGGGGGGGTGGGGTGCTTCTTGGGTATCATATAGGTAATGTTTGCGGATTTTCCTATATGTTCCAGTGGCAATCAAGAGGCATGCTGACGCAGTGGCTGTAGTTGCTGCAGCCACCTAAGTCCCCTTATAACATGCAAGAAAAAGGGATCCCGTTTTGCGTAGGGCCCTTAGAACCAAAAAGCCCAACATAAGTCTACAAAAGCTTCTGGAAGATCTCCAGTGGTAAAAGTTGACAGGATGAGCTGCTGTATGAGAAGATGCAGCTGGTGTCGCGCATCCACAGATCATCCACTGGGAGCTGCACAATCCTACATGGCATACTTGGACCAGGCAAGCTTACTAACTGTATAGGAAGTTGTAACTGAGCATATCCTCATGCAGGGCACTTGTGACTCTGAATACATGGAGCACCCATGAACCTCCAAATATGCACAGTGTTCAGGGACAGGCTGACGGGGGTTTTCATAGACTAAGTAGGCCCATGTGCGTGACAAAATGCCTCGAATTTATAGGGGACGCTTAACGCAGAAGATTCTGACCACTTGCTGGAGTGAAGATGATGTAAACGCAATGTAACTAAACCTTTGTATCTCCCTCACCCCCGAATCACGCACGTACCACCGGTAAAAAGCAAAAAATCAGTTTACTTTGAGCACCCTGAATCCCTACATAGTCACTGCTGAACGCCCTGAAGTCTTTCTGGGAGAAGTCGAGCGTCTCGACCGAGCTACTCAGCAGACTCTGCATGTAGGTCACATCACGCGGGCTTACATAAATCACCACCGGCTGATACTTCGCAAGAGTATTGGCCTGAGCAAGTGCAGCACGAGACCTACCAAGTTCGAGCATGGCAACAGTATGATGTACACTACTTCTCCCTCTTCCTTCTGATTCATGTCCTGGCCTGTTGCCTTCTACTGAAGGTTACACACGCAGGGGACATTCCTAAACTGCTCAGGACTCGTGTTTGAAACGTGATCTTTTCGGGCTTGGTGCTTCGGGAAGCTGAAGGGTACCGGAATTTCCCAAATCAAGCTTGAGGAGTGCCTGAACCCAGATCGTACATCCCATAAAACGCTTCTCGCGCTTCCTGTATCGTACTGGGGCTCCTGTAATCTCCCTGTATTCCCATACATCAACAGCATCCAAAATACTAGTCGTCTCCATTTTCTTTTCCATTATCCCTAAATAATGAAAATATGGTTATATATAGCCCTTAATAGGACCCCTAATGTAGACCGTTACTGGGTGGGGGCAATACCCAACCTAAACCCTAAACCCCTAACATCCCTTTTAAGCCAACCCTCTCCCTTCTCTCCGGCAAGTTGCCAAGAGTGCTAGGGAGCCTTGAACCGCCTGCGTGTGCTCGCCCCAGATGTCAATAGATGCTGCAGACATGAACCTCAGTTCAAAGCCTTTAGGGTTTAGGGTTAAGTAGATCGAATATGGGATTTAGGGTTTAGGGCTAAGTAGATAAGAATATAGGGTTTAGGATTTAGGTTTTAGGGTTTAGTAGATAGCATGTAGAGTTTTAATTAAGTAGATAGCATATGGGGTATATGGGGATCTTATTCTAATATACCCAGAGCCACATTCTATCTACGTAAGTGGGACTATAGGCTTCCGAAAGGGCCACCCTCACCCTGATAGTTGTATGGGAACCCCAAAATGAAAAGTGCGCCTACCCAGCTGCCAGAATTCTCCTGAAGCCCCAGGAACACGCGGGTTTGCTCCGCTGCCTCCTCTGGCATAAAGAGGCCAGCAGAGAGCATTGGACCACAGAGTTGTAGCACCACTGAGACCATATGCAGCTTCATGGCGTTCGAGAGAGCAAAGTCACAGATCAATAAGGGGGATGCAAGAAGGGTAGGCTTTAGGGTTTGAGTGGTTGGGAAGGATTGAGGTGTAGGATGGTGTAGGATATGTGGCGTGGGGTTCGTCATGGCATTCGGCTTCTAACTGCTCAGGGCTTCAGGTGACTTTGCCTGATTCCCTGACAGGCCGACGGGACCATGGCTCTGGATTGCTTTTAAGAAGGCCTAAAATAGATAATCCCCATATGAGCTGTAGTCTAAACTCCATAAAGGGGGGACATATTGGATTGCGACGGGGACTACTATAGGGCTTATTAAGGGGGATACTAGGAGTTTAGACTATGAGCGGGGAAACGACGCGCAACGTCACCCTGCTCTGGCTGGTGCAAAGATTCCCCTGTAGTAGATCCCATACATTGTGTAGGGTTCAGAGCTCAGGGTATCTGGGCACCCACGGGGCGTATTCAAACTGGGGCGGAGAGTTAGCGTTTGCCGGGATCTGTATTCAGCTCAGCTCGTGCAAGGTGTACCCAAGCGTATACAACAAAATATCCTCCCCGCCTGCAGGCGTAAACCAATGAACCCTACTTGGACACAAAGTCCTCGATGTCATAGCCTTCAACACGCCACCGCCGAACCCCCTGAACCCTACACCCCAAACCCTAAACCGTGAATCCTACACCCTAAGCTTGAAATTTGCACCCCAAACCCTGAATCCTGAAGCGGTCCCTAGCCCATCCAAGCCCCAAACCTGAGACCCCTCCCGCTGACCTGCCTCTTGCCAAGGGAGCTGCAGAGCCCAAGAAAAAGAAAGTTGCGATGAGTAGGCCGAGCCACGTGTCCTTGAGCTTCGATTTGACGGGTCTGTAGTCCCCCTTAAGTAGATAGAATATGACTTTGAGTATATTATAATAAGATCCTCATATACCTCATATTCTATCTACTTAAGGGGGACTATATAGGGTTTGAGGATTTGGGGTTGGGGTTTGAGCATTTGATATGGGGTTTAGGGTTTGTAGAGGGGCATGGGCCGAGTAGGGTTGTAAGGCTTGAGGGTTTTTGAGAGCTGGGCCTCTGGAACGTAGGATTTTTCAGGCGCTTCGATTGCATGATGTTGGGGGCTTGGGGTTCTCGGAGTTTGTGGTCTAGGGGTTTACGTGCCATTGTTGCGACACCTATGACGTCTTTCTGCATAATCTATTTGTGCTTTCCGCGGAGTAGGGTCTAGAATGGTCTGGGATGTATGGTCCAGAGTGGATTGTAAACAAACGCCCGCGAGTTGTTACTCCTGAAGATGGTGAAATACAAGCTAGGATGAACAAACTTTCAACAGAGGAATATCTTCTGTTTTGTCATAGTGGATGCAATGAGAGGTGGCCCTCACCTTTGGGGAACTTTCCCCCGCGACTGATAGTGCTCATGAAGGACTACCGAGGGCCCAACTATTTGTTAACCCCAGCTGTGAGAACCAAAATTTCAAGTCTGCAGCACAATGCTTGCCCAAACCCTCCATACAACCCTGAACCCGCTAAATACTACAGCCCCACCCTGCCCAAAAATCCCACTCCAGACCAAGTTTCCATGGTGGTGGCAAGAACAAAGGGGACTGAAAGCAACGCTGCCCAGACCTTGCGCACAAAAGCTCAATGCGTGAGACTTGGAGGAGAGAGGCTTCTGTTAAGCCAGACCACTCATCTGTAATTGCGATGAAGTTACTCCTGGTATCAGAAACCCAGTAGGTTTAGGGCTCAGGGTTGCTCGGATTGCTATGCCTGCGAACTCGTCCAGCCCCCAGAGTGAAACAGTGCGTTCCTCGCCCTGAAAGACTGGAGCTTAAGGAACATCTGTGCAAGACCTGAAAGCATAAGCCTCCACCCAAGGAGTTTCGTGTTTGCGGTTTCCGGCTGAAGGCATTGCTATGTTGCGCTGGATCCAAAACTGTGGTTGAAAACGATTGGCCTCTCAACTTTCTTCATTATCTGAGACCTGAATGCCTGAACCATGAGGGCAGAAAGAAGAGTGAGAAAACAAGGATCAGGGGTGCCAAGTTGGGTTGTTGTTTGAATACACCTTTGTCAGAGATCAAATGATGACCTCAAACTTGAGATCTGAATCTCAAAAGCCAGCACCCCCTTTGCCCGTCTCTTGCATGTCAAAGACACTGACCCTGCTCTACACAACGACCCTATGTAGTCCCCACAGATTCGTGAATAGGGGTTTGGGGTTCTTGGGGTAGACGGCGTTCTACAAGTATGTACAAAGTTACAGGTTGTCACAAGATATGCTTTTGCATTACTCAAGCTTCTACACCTATTTCCAGAGAAATTCGCCAAAATGAACCCTAACTGAGCCCTGGTGCCATTGGTTGCGCACCCCACGTCTGGCTGCACGCGGCAGACTGGTTATGAAGCGTCCAGACGGTAGCCCCTGCCACAAAGGGGGTCCCTGGGAACCCTAAGTATATCTTGGGATCATGAGGAAAGTATAGGGGTCTTGTTCGAGATTCTGTAGGGACAATTTTAAATGACTCCCAGCTTTGGCAGGAGATTTTGAACTTGCAAAAAGTGGTTGCCGGATAGAAGGATGAAAGAGGTGCATTCGTTTGTCTCCTGAGCCCCCACTAAACCCTAAAGCATACGACCTCCACCCTAAACCTAAGCATGTAATGCAAAATCCTGAGCAGTCAACCCTAAACCCTAAACCTTATTCTCCCTACATATATATATATGATTATATATGAATGAAAGCCCTAAGCCCGAAACCAATTAGATCTCCAGCCTGCAGCAAGTAGCACACAGGTCAGCGTCACCTCGAATAAGCAGGGCAGCCTACAGTTTAGGGTTTAGCGGTCTTGGACGTAGGGTTTACGGGGTTTGGAGCCTAGGGTGCAGGCGTGGTGGATGTAGGGTTGAGGGGTTCAGGGTCTAGGGGTTTAGGGTTGAAGGGGTTAGGGAATTAGCACTTGAGAAGTTTAGTGTTTGGGGTTCTGGCTAACTTTTTCAGATTCATGCTGCAGGATTCAGGCTTTGCAGGCTTCAGGGATAGGACGTAGGTTGGGGGATCTGAGGCTAAAGGACTTGGTTTCCAGCTGCATTGGCTAAGCAATCCGCTGTGCGCGGATACCTTGCGAGACAGCGTGCCATGCACGTACGTTGACGGCAGCCGCTGGCAGCAATTGTAACTCCAGTGCTTCTGAAGCTAAGATTCCATGACTGTCTAGCGCCATTAAGCTCTCCTTGAAGATGCCTCGACTTACATCCTGCCTCACACCGCTCGGCTTGTTCTACCCGCCTCGTTTCCTTGCTTCTTCTCACCTCTGAGTTACATTCATTATTCAGACGCTTGTGGTCTCAACGGCCGCGGAGCTGATAAGACCTGGGAGGACCCGACCGATGTAGTGTAGGCCCGAATGCATCCTCAAGCAGCATGAACTGGGGCTGATAGAAATACATGCTAGCGCCCTACATGAAATCGCATAGCCGCAGACCCCAAGACAACCAAGCATCCCCAAACAGAGCTTCCTACAAAGTGCCAGACGAATCCAAACCTCTTTACCCGAAACCCCAATGAATATTCACCCTCCGCCAAGGACCAGACAGCTGGCGCAAGCTCCCGCCCTGAGAAGATCAGACAGCTTTGAAACATAATGCACTTTGAGATCGTTGTTTTGGGCGCGTTGTGCATGCCAGACGAGAGCACAAGTCTGCGTAGGAAATGCGCAGATTCTATTTGTGCTAGTTCAATTGCCATTGGACGTGCGTGTGCGTGTCAACATGACAGGCGCAGCACTATCCTCAAGACCGAACAAATCTGTTAACAAAAGACTTCCTGAAGTCCTGGGACAAGTTTATAAGCAGAAACAGCACCCCAACCCCCATAGCGCTCAAACCCACAACCTTCTCACCCCGCGACTTGAAAGGTCAGAGCCCCAAC